TCTACTTGGGATTCTTTGGTCCCAAATAAATATAAACGCTTCCTTTTAAATTCAGGCAGATGACATTAATTTGAACCTTCTTTAACATACAGAGAATTGCAGGTCACAACATAAACATGTTTATGGTACCAACAGTGGAAAATTGTGAAGTGAAATCAAAGCAGAACCTGGCATTTGTTTTCATAATGCCTTTCCCTTGAAGAAGCAAGTACATTATGTGAACTTTATCCCATTAACCCTCGGAGATAAGTAGAAGGACTGAAAGAATGGCTTCTATACACAGGTCACATAGCCAGGAAGTGACAGTACTGTTAACAGCCTGCTTCCTTGCCCAGTGTCTGGTTAGGCTATTTTACCTTAACAGACCATTGTCGTAGTGACATAGTGCCGTAATAGAACTCACAATTTCATATCATCCTTAGGTATACTCTTGGAATTGAGAAAATCTATTCAAATTGGCCAATGTGTACTTGTTTTTGAACCCCCAGCCTCCCTCTTCTGTAATCTTGCTTCCTCTTTTATTACTCTTTTACCTTAGTGCCCCCCGCCGCCCCCCGCAAGTGTAATACTGTTGGAAGACTGAAAACTCAGTCACATTACAGCATTGTGTCTTCATAGATCAGCCCTTCTAGGACGACACCCATTTTAAAGACAACAGCTTAGTCCAAAGAAATTAATCATAAATGATAGCACTTTCTCATATGGAGGAAGAAGATTTTTGGGTGTGTAAAGCCTTCCTTAAAAGGGGCCCTGGTGGCACAATGACTACGTGCTCAGCTGCTAACCGAAAGGTTGGCGGTTCGAACCCACCAGCAGCTCCAAGGGAGAAAAAACTGGCAATCTGTAAAGATTACAGCCTTGGAAACCCTGTGTTGCAGTTCTGCTGTGTCCTGTAGGGTCGCTATGAGTCGGAATCGATTCGATGGCACACAACAACGAGCCTTCGTTGTCCCTTTGAATAACACCATGTAGGTTATTGCATTTTCTACTGTCATCTCCTAAAGGCAAAAAGTTTGCAATGGGAGAAGGCAGAAGAAGTAATGATCAAGAGAAAAGAGGTAAAGGAAATAATTTGTTTTTATTTTTAAGGAAAAATGAAAAAGGAGAATAGAGTAGAACCGATCTTTTCTATGTCTGGTAGACCACCATAATTTGTAGTAATGAAATATGCACTCTAAGCACTTAGCCGATATTTACCAAGGGGGAAACCTAGTTTAGGCCTCATCTTCCTTTGATAGAATAATCATAATGAAGAACATAAAGCCACATTTTGTAAGATGGACTTGTGTCTCCCTTCCCTTTTCTCCCCGCCCCATACACTCCATTAAGGATCTGAGCACTGAGCAAACTACTGGGCTGTGCTTCATTCTCTCGTCCCGTGCACTCTTCCATGACTCCACACTGGTGCTCATGGCATTCTCTTTACCTGACTCATCATGCTCTGCCTACTGAACTCCAGCAAGACCCGATTCAAATGCCAGCCAATCATGCTCTGCCTACTGAACTCCAGCAAGACCCGATTCAAATGCCAGCCAATCATGCTCTGCCTACTGAACTCCAGCAAGACCCGATTCAAATGCCAGCCAATCAGGCTCTGCCTACTGAACTCCAACAAGACCCGATTCAAATGCCAGCCAACAGGCCTTATCCAAACAGCTCTTTTACCTTGAGCAGAGCCAATCCCTCCCTCCACTGTATCACCAGAGCATTAGTGGACATGTCTATATTTTAGAACTCAGCATCATGTATAATTATTATATGTTAATATGTCTCTCTGCCCCACAGAATGTAAACTACTTCCAATTGGGACCAGATCTTATTTATTTCTAGTTTCTTTGATCGATACTACTATGTATCAGGCACAAAAAACACATGATCAATACATATGCTACAGTCTGGAAAGTATAAAAAGTTTACAGTTCCATAAAGGAGGAAAGGCTTATAGATATAAGAGAGCAAAATGGTTGTTATGGATTGAATTGAGTCCCCCCAAAAATGTGTGTCAACTTGGCTAGGCTATGATTCCCAGTATTGTGTGGTTGTCCTCCATTTTGTGATCTGATGTAATTATATGTTGTAAATCATAACCTCTTTGATGTTAATGAGACAAGATCAGAGGCAGTTATGTTAATGAGGCAGGACACAATCTACAGGATTAGGCTGTATTTTGAGTCAATCTCTTTTGAGATATAAAAGAGAGAAGCGAGCAGAGAGGAGAGAGGCCTCCTACCACCAAGAAAGGATAGCTGGGAGCGGAGTGCGTCCTTTGGACCCAGGCTCCCTGAGCTGAGAAACTCCTAGACCCAGGGGAAGATTGATGACAAGGACCTTCACTCCAGAGCCGACAGAGAGAGAAGGGCTTCCCCTGGAGCTGGCGCCCTGAGTTCAGACTACTAGCCTTCTAAATTGTGAGAGAACAAATTTCTGTTTGTTAAAGCCATCCATTTGTGGTATTTCTGTTACAGCAGCACTGGAAAACTAAGACAATGCTATAATGTGCTGGGTTAAGAATGTTAAGGTTAGGTAACTACTGAATTCAACAGATATATATTAAACACCTGGGAGTCAGGAATTGTGTCCTGTAATACTGGGATAAATAAAACATAGTCTGTCTACCTTTGAAGTGCTCACAATCCACCTTGTAGATTCTTTTTATATGTGTGTAGCATTTCTGTGGTTTACATATTACTTTCAGTGTTGTTCTTTACAACAGCCCTGTGAGGTAGGTAAGTTTCACCATTGTTATAGAGATGGAAATCAAATTAAAAAAAAAACAACAACAACTTGTTTCTGCTGAGCTGAGTCCAACTCAGGGTGACCCCATGTGTTACAGAGGTAGAATTGCTCCATGGGATTTTCTTGGTTGTAATCTTTATGGAAGCAGACTGCCAGGTCTTTCTTCCACGATGCCTCTGGGTGGGTTTGAACTGCCAACCTGTAGGTTAGTAGATGAGTGCAAACTGTTTGCACTACCCAGAGACCTGAGAGATGGAAACAGGTTTGAATTCCCAGCTCTTCTGACTCCAACACAGGATTTTTTTGTTTTTGCTACTATATCAATATTTTTCAAACTTACCCTCTTCCGAGTTGGGAAATAAAAGCTCAAATTTTGTGACATCTAGTGTATTATCTTAAAAATTCATGAAAATTATAATGTTTTACATTCCTTCCCACTGAACTAAACTGAAGCTCTGAGAAAATGAGCCACACTGATTCTGGGGATTTGTGTGTCTTCAGTAGAGGACTACATACCCAGAAAGGAGCCTGGTGGCACAGTGGTTAAAGTGCTGTACTGTGAACTGAAAGGTTGGGGGTTCGAAACCACCAGTGGCTCCACGGGAGAGAGATGTGGCAGTCTGCTTCCGTAGAGATTTACGGCCTTGGAAACCCTAAGGGGTTGTTATGAGTTGGAATGGACTCAATGGCGGAGGGTTGGGACATACCTAGAGCGGTAGACATACAATTTAAGAAGCACCTGCTGTCTTCACTCAGGATTCTCTGGGTCTGGCTTGAATCCCCACCCAAGATTTTGTGTAACTTTATTAGGTGTCTGCGGGGTTTTTTGTGGCATAATTTTATTCCTAGTTCTCTGTGAAGACTATAACAAAACGCCCACTCTACTCCCAGATGTTAAATGAAGAGTGGGGGACTGATCCTTTCCTCCTTGAAAGGATGTCTCATTCTGACAATAAGTTCTTAGTCTGATCCTATCATCCACCCCTCTCATTGCTGGCTGATCCGAAGAGTCCCAGGTGTCTCGCACACGCCTGTTTGTCCCTGAAGGCCCAGACTCGACACTACGCTCTAGTCGGCACCACCACCAGAGGGCGGCTTGGGGGCGCAGCCTGCGGAGCCCTCTAGTGGTGGCTGTGCTATCGTGGCTCTTTTATGAAACCTGTGTGACACCCGGTAGCCAAGTTTTTTAAAGGTCCTGGTCCTCAGCTTCCTTTTCTTAAGGCCTTTGGCAGGTCTCAGATGTATTACCTTGCTTGGATAAGTCACCCATTCTCTAAGGATCGCCCCCTCCCAAGGTGTGACAGCGTGGAGTCATCATTCCCTCCTGGCAAGGTGAAACATTAGGACCTGGGGAATCAACCAATGCCTTTTTCTTACTCCAGCTTCTTCACGGATATAGAGCTCATACATACATTCAACATTTTTCAGTATAATGCCAGCTTCAGCATGACTCACAGACTCTGGAATTAGACTTCCTGGTGTCAAATCCTGGCTCCCACATTTACCAATTCTTAAAGTTTTAAGAATGCTATTTAACCTCTCTAAGCTTCAGTTTCTTCTGTAAAATAGAAAGAATAATACTAGTACCAGTTGCTGTCTAACTCACGGTGACTTCGTGTTTCAGAGTACAACTGTGCTCCCTATGGTTTTCATGGCTGGGACCTCTCTGAAGCAGATCGCCAGGCCTTTCCTCTGAGGCATCGCTAGGTGGGTTAGAACTACCAGCCTTTCAGTTAGTAGTCATGTGCTTAACTGTTTGCACTAGCCAGGCACTCCCAGAAAGAATAACAGTACCTATGTCATACAGTTCTTGGGAGAAGTAACTATGATAATGCATGGAAAGTACTAGGCCTGGCACATTGAAAGTACTCAACAAACATTAGCTATTTATATTCCTCTTTGAAGCATCTGTCTAGCACATACCACGTCTATCAATTTGGTGCAGAAAAATACTGTGTCTACATGGGACACGGGCACATATGCAAAATGAATTTCACACACAACCTGTAGTTTACCAAAGTGGCTAAGCTAATTGTGACCTTAGGTTAGGAAAAGGGGACTAATTCATGTGATACAATCAGTGCAATGGATAGTCAGAGCACAAAGGAATCCAAGAGGCTGTAAATCTGGGCCTGGAGTCTGTGGGACAGGCCTGAGGGCACAGTGGTGCCAGGCCAAGGTGTGGAGCTGCTCTCCAAAGGCCAGGTAGCCCAAGCCAATCGGATTTCCCTCATGCTAGGAGTCGAAGAGTGGCAGAGCCTTACAGCCCAAAGTCCAAGCCGCAGCAGGAACGTGGCCAGAGAATCTGACAGGTAGAAAGCTGACAGAAACTCTTTTCAGAAAAGTTAAAGCTGAAGGGCTCATAACAGCCACAGGCCCAGAGAAAAACCAGCGTGAGCTGAGCAGCTGTTCCATCTGGTGCTAGAGGCCTTGCCTGTTGTCTTCTACACTAGACAGTTCAGGCCTCCCTGAGCAGCATCATCACACTGCCGCCCCCCCCCCC